GGGACCAGCGCAGGGGCGGCACCGTGCGCATGATTCTGGAGGGACCCGGGAGAGGCGAAGGGCTGGGGGCACTGGAGGAGCGGAGGGGGGCACCGTGCGCAGGACTCTGGAGGGGACCCGGGAGAGGCGAAGGGGCACCCGAGGGACCAGCGCAGGGGCGGCACCGTGCGCATGATTCTGGAGGGACCCGGGAGAGGCGAAGGGCTGGGGGCACTGGAGGAGCGGAGGGGGGCACCGTGCGCAGGACTCTGGAGGGCACCCGGGAGAGGCGAAGGGCTGGGGGCACTGGAGGAGCGGAGGGGGGCACCGTGCGCAGGACTCTGGAGGGCACCCGGGAGAGGCGAAGGGCTGGGGGCACTGGAGGAGCGGAGGGGGGCACCGTGCGCAGGACTCTGGAGGGCACCCGGGAGAGGCGAAGGGCTGGGGGCACTGGAGGAGCGGAGGGGGGCACCGTGCGCAGGACTCTGGAGGGCACCCGGGAGAGGCGAAGGGCTGGGGGCACTGGAGGAGCGGAGGGGGGCACCGTGCGCAGGACTCTGGAGGGCACCCGGGAGAGGCGAAGGGCTGGGGGCACTGGAGGAGCGGAGGGGGGCACCGTGCGCAGGACTCTGGAGGGCACCCGGGAGAGGCGAAGGGCTGGGGGCACTGGAGGAGCGGAGGGGGGCACCGTGCGCAGGACTCTGGAGGGCACCCGGGAGAGGCGAAGGGCTGGGGGCACTGGAGGAGCGGAGGGGGGCACCGTGCGCAGGACTCTGGAGGGCACCCGGGAGAGGCGAAGGGCTGGGGGCACTGGAGGAGCGGAGGGGGGCACCGTGCGCAGGACTCTGGAGGGCACCCGGGAGAGGCGAAGGGCTGGGGGCACTGGAGGAGCGGAGGGGGGCACCGTGCGCAGGACTCTGGAGGGCACCCGGGAGAGGCGAAGGGCTGGGGGCACTGGAGGAGCGGAGGGGGGCACCGTGCGCAGGACTCTGGAGGGCACCCGGGAGAGGCGAAGGGCTGGGGGCACTGGAGGAGCGGAGGGGGGCACCGTGCGCAGGACTCTGGAGGGCACCCGGGAGAGGCGAAGGGCTGGGGGCACTGGAGGAGCGGAGGGGGGCACCGTGCGCAGGACTCTGGAGGGCACCCGGGAGAGGCGAAGGGCTGGGGGCACTGGAGGAGCGGAGGGGGGCACCGTGCGCAGGACTCTGGAGGGCACCCGGGAGAGGCGAAGGGCTGGGGGCACTGGAGGAGCGGAGGGGGGCACCGTGCGCAGGACTCTGGAGGGCACCCGGGAGAGGCGAAGGGCTGGGGGCACTGGAGGAGCGGAGGGGGGCACCGTGCGCAGGACTCTGGAGGGCACCCGGGAGAGGCGAAGGGCTGGGGGCACTGGAGGAGCGGAGGGGGGCACCGTGCGCAGGACTCTGGAGGGCACCCGGGAGAGGCGAAGGGCTGGGGGCACTGGAGGAGCGGAGGGGGGCACCGTGCGCAGGACTCTGGAGGGCACCCGGGAGAGGCGAAGGGCTGGGGGCACTGGAGGAGCGGAGGGGGGCACCGTGCGCAGGACTCTGGAGGGCACCCGGGAGAGGCGAAGGGCTGGGGGCACTGGAGGAGCGGAGGGGGGCACCGTGCGCAGGACTCTGGAGGGCACCCGGGAGAGGCGAAGGGCTGGGGGCACTGGAGGAGCGGAGGGGGGCACCGTGCGCAGGACTCTGGAGGGCACCCGGGAGAGGCGAAGGGCTGGGGGCACTGGAGGAGCGGAGGGGGGCACCGTGCGCAGGACTCTGGAGGGCACCCGGGAGAGGCGAAGGGCTGGGGGCACTGGAGGAGCGGAGGGGGGCACCGTGCGCAGGACTCTGGAGGGCACCCGGGAGAGGCGAAGGGCTGGGGGCACTGGAGGAGCGGAGGGGGGCACCGTGCGCAGGACTCTGGAGGGCACCCGGGAGAGGCGAAGGGCTGGGGGCACTGGAGGAGCGGAGGGGGGCACCGTGCGCAGGACTCTGGAGGGCACCCGGGAGAGGCGAAGGGCTGGGGGCACTGGAGGAGCGGAGGGGGGCACCGTGCGCAGGACTCTGGAGGGCACCCGGGAGAGGCGAAGGGCTGGGGGCACTGGAGGAGCGGAGGGGGGCACCGTGCGCAGGACTCTGGAGGGCACCCGGGAGAGGCGAAGGGCTGGGGGCACTGGAGGAGCGGAGGGGGGCACCGTGCGCAGGACTCTGGAGGGCACCCGGGAGAGGCGAAGGGCTGGGGGCACTGGAGGAGCGGAGGGGGGCACCGTGCGCAGGACTCTGGAGGGCACCCGGGAGAGGCGAAGGGCTGGGGGCACTGGAGGAGCGGAGGGGGGCACCGTGCGCAGGACTCTGGAGGGCACCCGGGAGAGGCGAAGGGCTGGGGGCACTGGAGGAGCGGAGGGGGGCACCGTGCGCAGGACTCTGGAGGGCACCCGGGAGAGGCGAAGGGCTGGGGGCACTGGAGGAGCGGAGGGGGGCACCGTGCGCAGGACTCTGGAGGGCACCCGGGAGAGGCGAAGGGCTGGGGGCACTGGAGGAGCGGAGGGGGGCACCGTGCGCAGGACTCTGGAGGGCACCCGGGAGAGGCGAAGGGCTGGGGGCACTGGAGGAGCGGAGGGGGGCACCGTGCGCAGGACTCTGGAGGGCACCCGGGAGAGGCGAAGGGCTGGGGGCACTGGAGGAGCGGAGGGGGGCACCGTGCGCAGGACTCTGGAGGGCACCCGGGAGAGGCGAAGGGCTGGGGGCACTGGAGGAGCGGAGGGGGGCACCGTGCGCAGGACTCTGGAGGGCACCCGGGAGAGGCGAAGGGCTGGGGGCACTGGAGGAGCGGAGGGGGGCACCGTGCGCAGGACTCTGGAGGGCACCCGGGAGAGGCGAAGGGCTGGGGGCACTGGAGGAGCGGAGGGGGGCACCGTGCGCAGGACTCTGGAGGGCACCCGGGAGAGGCGAAGGGCTGGGGGCACTGGAGGAGCGGAGGGGGGCACCGTGCGCAGGACTCTGGAGGGCACCCGGGAGAGGCGAAGGGCTGGGGGCACTGGAGGAGCGGAGGGGGGCACCGTGCGCAGGACTCTGGAGGGCACCCGGGAGAGGCGAAGGGCTGGGGGCACTGGAGGAGCGGAGGGGGGCACCGTGCGCAGGACTCTGGAGGGCACCCGGGAGAGGCGAAGGGCTGGGGGCACTGGAGGAGCGGAGGGGGGCACCGTGCGCAGGACTCTGGAGGGCACCCGGGAGAGGCGAAGGGCTGGGGGCACTGGAGGAGCGGAGGGGGGCACCGTGCGCAGGACTCTGGAGGGCACCCGGGAGAGGCGAAGGGCTGGGGGCACTGGAGGAGCGGAGGGGGGCACCGTGCGCAGGACTCTGGAGGGCACCCGGGAGAGGCGAAGGGCTGGGGGCACTGGAGGAGCGGAGGGGGGCACCGTGCGCAGGACTCTGGAGGGCACCCGGGAGAGGCGAAGGGCTGGGGGCACTGGAGGAGCGGAGGGGGGCACCGTGCGCAGGACTCTGGAGGGCACCCGGGAGAGGCGAAGGGCTGGGGGCACTGGAGGAGCGGAGGGGGGCACCGTGCGCAGGACTCTGGAGGGCACCCGGGAGAGGCGAAGGGCTGGGGGCACTGGAGGAGCGGAGGGGGGCACCGTGCGCAGGACTCTGGAGGGCACCCGGGAGAGGCGAAGGGCTGGGGGCACTGGAGGAGCGGAGGGGGGCACCGTGCGCAGGACTCTGGAGGGCACCCGGGAGAGGCGAAGGGCTGGGGGCACTGGAGGAGCGGAGGGGGGCACCGTGCGCAGGACTCTGGAGGGCACCCGGGAGAGGCGAAGGGCTGGGGGCACTGGAGGAGCGGAGGGGGGCACCGTGCGCAGGACTCTGGAGGGCACCCGGATGCTCAGTGGAGCGTCTACGTAGCCCTGCAGAGAGACCCCTCGGTCAGAGGCCGGGGCGCTAGCGCTGCAGCAGCAAAGCAGCGAGAGGTGACCAACACTCCCAGCAGCACGCATGGGCGTGAATGGCTCCCCCCTGCCCCGGGCCGTGTTCTGCCTGCTCCCTGCTCCCTGCCCGGCTCCGCCTCTGCAGGCAGGTGGATACTTAGGACCGGTCACGTTATTGGTTTTTCAGGGAGCAGACAGATCACTGGTGCACCCACGGGGGGGCTGCCCCAGATTCGGTACGAAGGGGCCACGTGAGGGGTCACAGGAAAGCGTGCGCCACTGATCCTGTACTTGTGTGATGTGGCATGTGGACCAGAGATAGGTCACCTGACCACATGACCAGCTCCAGCCTGGGAGACACCAGGGATATGAAGGTGTCATGAGACTGTCTCCTGATCCCAGATGCAGCCCTGTGCGGCACCGAGCCGGGCGTAGGATGGACACCAGAGACGACTCAGCTGGCAGCCTGGAATATCGCAGCTGAGCGCTGGTGTGAGGTCGGGGGGCAGGCCCACTCGCTTGGGCCGTCACTGCTTGCTGTGTGCTGTGTGCACGTCTGTGAGCACGGCCCAGTGGGGGTCGGCCGGAGGGCCCTCTCGTCCTGTAGACAATGGGGTTGAGAAAGGAACGGGGTGGCTTGGGGAGGGGAGTCAGAGTGTGGGGGAAGCATGGAGGAAGGAGACTAAGCAGAGTGCTGGGGGTCAGGGGGCCTGTGAGCCCTACCCCAAGGGGTCTAAGGCTGCCTGCCTGACTCCTATGTCCACATCATAGGAGTCTGTGCTGGGCTGTATCTCGGAGAGGCAATAACCCCTCCCTCTTCTACTGACTGGCAGAGTCACATCTGGCTGCGGACGGGGCACAGGGTCAGGGAGTCACCTGCATCGAGAACTCGGTGACGTCCACGTGACGTATTCCCCTTAACCTCACTCTCAGCCTTTTCTTATTTCTGTTAATAAACCTTTAGAGTGTCGATGCTAAAGGACCGGCCCAGCGGCTCTTGTGGGGAAGATCCAGAGTGTAAACTGACCAGGAACTGGGGCTGGGCCTTTGGGACCGGGAGGACCCGTTCGGGGTGGGTGAGATCAGGTTCTAACCTCCTCACCTGTGCTAGGCACCGGGGCTGACTGGGGCACAGGGAGAGCTGGGTGCCCGAGGGGTTTTGCTCGAGAGGCTTCCTGCTGGCCAGGCAGACGGCTGGACCGCTCGTGACTGGTGTGTGGCCTGTTCGGAAGGTCTCTAGTCAGGGGCCGTACGGAGCCCTGAGTCTGAGCGATTTGCCCTGAGCGGTGCCCAGACCCGGCCCGGCCCAGCACAGGACCTGCAGGAGACTCTACTCCAGGCTGATCTGGAGACACTGGCTCAGCGCCGGGAGACCACTCTCCTGAAGAGAGCAGATCTGCCAGCCACCCCTGCTCCGCCGTGGGGTCTGACTTAGCCCACCCCTCACGCCCAATCCAGGAGGCCAGGGCCAGTAGCGGCAGGGACCTGTCTCCAGTTCTCACGGTGTCAGCATCAGAGCAGACCCACCTGTTCCCTGCTTCTGCCAGCCCACGAGTGAGGGGCATGTCCAACTAGCCTACAGGCCAGAGAGCAAAGGGAGGCCATGGGACGGGATGGCCACCAGGACACCACAGGAGGCTGGAGCCTGGCCCGAGCTGCTGTGGTGGGACCCGGCGTTCCTCCAGCAGCTGACTCCCTGCCCGTGACAGGGAGACGCACACGTCGCGTGTTGCCCTGAAAGTCCAATGCCCTTGGCAGGCCTGGCTGAGTTAAACACGAGCCCCTCGGCTTGGTAGTCCCGGTCCTTGTACTCCTTAAAGAATTCACAGCCTGCAAGAGAAGAGGCAGCAGTGACGTGCAGGCCTGCACACAGTGGCACAGAGCCCATTGGGGAGCAGCCAGAATGCACCAGGGGCATAAGAACATAAGAACGGCCGTACTGGGTCAGACCAAAGGTCCATCTAGCCCAGTAGCCTGTCTGCCCAGAGTGGCCAGCACCAGGTGCCCCAGAGAGGGTGGACCGAAGACAATGATCAAGAGATTTGGCTCCTGCCATCCCTCTCCAGCCTCTGACAAACAGAGGCCAAGGACACCATTTTATCCCCTGGCTAATAGCCTTTTATGGACCTAACCTCCATGAAATTATCTAGCTTCTCTTTAAACTCTGTTATAGTCCTAGCCTTCACCGCCTCCTCTGGCAAGGAGTTCCACAGGTTGACTACACGCTGTGTGAAGAAGAACTTTCTTTTATTAGTTTTAAACCTGCTACCCATTAATTTCATTTGGTGTCCTCTAGTTCTTCTATTATGGGAACTAATAAATAACTTTTCTTTATCAGCCCTCTCCACACCACTCATGATTTTATAGACCTCTATCATATCCCCCCTCAGTCTCCTCTTTTCTAAACTGAAAAGTCCCAGTCGCTTTAACCTCTCCTCATATGGGACCCGTTCCAAACCCCTAATCATTTTAGTTGCCCTTTTCTGAACCCTTTCCAAGGCCAAAATATCTTTTTTGAGGTGAGGAGACCACATCTGTACACAGTATTCAAGATGTGGGCGTACCATAGTTTTATACAGGGGCAGTAAGATATTCTGGGTCTTATTTTCTATCCCTTTCCTAATAATTCCTAGCATCCTATTTGCCTTTTTGACCGCCGCCGCCCACTGTGTGGAAGTTTTCAGAGAAATACAGGGGCAGTAAGAGATTCTGGGTCTTATATTCTATCCCTTTCCTAATAATTCTTAGCATCCCATTTGCCTTTTTGACCACCGCTGCACACTGCGTGGAAGTTTTCAGAGAACTGTCCACGATAACTCCAAGATCTCTTTCCTGATTTGTCGTAGCCAAATTAGCCCCCCATCATACTGTACATACAGTTGGGGTTATTTTTCCCGATGTGCATTACTTTACACTTATCCACATTAAATTTCATTTGCCATTTTGTTGCCCAATCACTCAGTTTGGTGAGATCTTCTTGGAGTCCCTCACAGTCTGCTTCTGTCTTGACTATCCTAAACAGTTTGGTATCATCTGCAAACTTTACTACCTCACTGCTTACCCCTTTCTCCAGATCATTTATGAATAAGTTGAAAAGGATTGGTCCCAGGACTGACCCTTGGGGTACACCACTAGTTACCCCTCTCCAATCTGAAAATTTACCATTTATTCCTACCCTTTGTTTCCTGTCTTTTAACCAGTTCTCAATCCAAGAAAGGACCTTCCCTCTTATCCCATGGCCATGTAATTTACACAAGAGCCTTTGGTGAGGGACCTTGTCAAAGGCTTTCTGAAAATCCAAGTATACTATATCTACTGGATCCCCCTTGTCCGCATGTTTGTTAACCCCTTCAAAGAACTCTAATAGATTAGTAAGACAGGATTTCCCTTTACAGAAACCATGTTGACTTTTGTCCAACAAATTATGTTCTTCTACATGCTTCACAATTTTATTCTTTACTATTGTTTCGACTAATTTGCCCGGTACTGAAGTTAGACTTACCGGTCTGTAATTGCCAGGATCGCCTCTAGAGCCCCTTTTAAATATTGGTGTCACGTTGGCTACCTTCCAGTCATTAGGTACAGAAGCTGATTTAAAGGATAGGTTACAAACCACAGATAATAGCTCAGCAATTTCCCATTTAAGTTCTTTTAGAACCCTTGGATGAATGCCATCCGGTCCCAGAGATTTGTTAACATTAAGTTTTTCTATTTGTTCCAAAACCTCCTCTAATGACACTTCAATCCGGGACAGTTCCTCAGATTCATCACCCACAAAGGACGGTGCAGATTCAGGAATCTCCCCAACATCCTCAGCCGTGAAGACTGAAGCAAAGAAATCATTTAGTTTCTCCGCAATGCCTTTATCGTCCTTGATTGCTCCTTTTATAGCTCGATCATCTAGGGGACCCACAGGTGTTTTAGCAGGCTT